ATGTAGTAGCGAGCGCCGTAAAACACTTACAAAAAAAAACCTTTAAAAAAAAAGATCTCTAGATCTAGATCTAGATCTAGATCTAATCCTCTCAAACTTGAATTAGATCTACCCGTATACGTGTATGTAAACCATGGCCCCAAAAACATGGCCAGTAATCAAGGCTGGGCTCCGAACTACGAATGTAAAAAGGAGCGTTACGTCCCCCGTTGAGCTGAATAAAATTTGCTTGGCAACGGTGGACGCCAAACGATTTTACGAAAAACGAAACACGACACACGCAAGGGATTTGGGTGAAGGAAAAAGCCTACAGGACTACAAGGATCCTGATACTCTTTGCAAGAGTAAGTGTATGAAATATATTTTAGCTCCATTCTCACAAAAGTTTTCTGTTGAAGTGGTTTACCTAGATAACATTTAAGCTCTTTTTTTTTTTCCAGTGACAAATAAGGTTGCGTTTGATGGAAACATTTTCCCCCCAAAGTCAAAGCAGTAGGGTAGGTTTGATGGCGATGGTTCTCTATTGCTGTGAACATTGTTGTGCTTGTCGTGGTACCAATGGCCCTTTTTCATGCAACAATTTAGATAGGCCTATTGGATACTTTATTTTTGCAATCATAAATGAAAGAGAAATGATATGATCATGTGATTAATGATAGATTGATTGAGTTTCATCATTTCTACCCAGATTTGAAAGTTTCTCGATCTATTTGAACATTGTGATACAATGAAGATGGACTGATGTTCACACTCAGATGTCAGTTCTTGTATGACCTTTGCCTTTGTGTTAACACTTTGTCAGACAATTTTTTGTTATAGTGAGAGGACGTAATACCAATATTGTTTACCGAACATGTAGAATAAGAGATAATCTGATATTTCTCTCTCTCTCCCTCTCTCTCTCTCTATCTCTTTCTCTATCTCTCTCTCTGTACGTGTGTGTGTATGTGCGTGTGTGTGTGTGTATGTGTGTGTGTGTGTGTGTGTGCGCGTGCGTGCGTGCGCGCGCACATGTGTGTGTGTGTGTGTGTGTGTGTGTGTGTGTTCTTTAGTCTGATATGCTGCTCCATAACCCATGATTTGAATCTGGGTATTCAAGCTAGTCTTTTATATATCACTTCAATTTGTTGAGTTAGTATTCAACAGTAATCTTCCTCTTCTTATATGATGCACACCAAGATACAGAATGTCTATCATAGTCATAGTCCCCTAAATATCACAAACGCAATATGATAGATCAACTTCTTCTTCATGGATATCTACTTCTTCATGGATTATTTTGGGGTCTTTAATTAAGAATCCTAACATGCTTTGAGGGGCTACTAGCAACTGTGTCTGTACACCAAAGAAACACGCAGGGGGAGAATCATGGGCTGAATTATGGAATAAATGTGAATTTTTTTCTTCATTAGAAAAAAAAAATCCACATTTTCAACTATCAGCTTATTTTCACCCCCTTTTTTTCATTCAAAAATAATCTCTTGACCTCTGACTTTTCGTTTTTATTAGTATAGTTTTGCTAACTTCTACTTTAATCCTCTAAACAATACCTTTTCCTAACATGGAATTTTTTTTCTTTCTGTGAATGTTATAGTTATAAGGCAAAATCATTTTCATTTCAGGAGGCAACATGGCAGCTTCAGGCATCAATGAACATCATGAAGCCTGCAGAAAGCAAAATTTCATCAACAGGCAGACTTTTCATAAGCATCTCCTGGAGGTAAGTTTATTTTTTCAGCCATAGCAATACGAGTGAACGAACCACTGATTTTAGTTTCCGCAAGACTAATTTATGGCACTTGCAACACAAATAGGTCATATTAATATTGTTATGAGTGCCAAAGATTAGATGTTACTACTAGAGAGTAACATACAAAGAGAAGAAGGAGGAGAGATAAGGATGATAGATGTTTGATAGGGAAGAAGGAACAATAATAAACTACACTACCGCACCCGTCACCTACCCATTCAAACCATTAATGAACCTCACTGAAGTATTAAGTTTGTTTTTAACTCTTAGAGTTTATATTTGGAAAATCGATAAATTTACTTTCTGTCTCTAAACCAAATGGAATGTTTTTCTTGTCTAGACTGAGATAAATAATGGGAATTGATGGAGAGAGATAAAAAATTTCATGGGAGTTTGGGGGGGAGGGG